GAACGCTATTGTAAAACTAATATAAATATTTGTGTAACCCGATGATCAAAATCTAGACTTTCCCTATGCTGAATCACCAGGACATTAAATGTATACCAATCAGACGGATCAATTACGACGGGTAGTCCGAATACGATTACGACTTCGATCCGATCCCGACCGAATAAAGAAATAATCACAATAAATATGAACATCGGAGAGAAGGGGGCTTTGATGTTACTTGTTTATTTAATCTCATCACAACAAGTACCGTCTGTTGGGTTTAACTTCTCTCTTCAACGTTTTGTTTAAATTCAGTAGAGATAGACATCGGTAACACAAAACTGTTGAATGAACTTCTTCATTGAAGATTTTCAAACTTCAATAATACCATTATGTTCATCTCCATTTTCTGAAAGTTTAATAAAATCATTTGATAAATTTTCATAAAATTTAATGCCATACTTGAAAGAAAAAACAGATGTACAAGATAGTAGTTTCAATAAAAATGTGATTTTGTCATGTCGTACAGACAATCATTCAAATATTAAATATTCTATTGGTTCTATTCCGACTCAATAATTTATAAAAAAAAAAAGAAGTAAAAAAATGTCTTTAAAATTTTGACAAGTTATCTCAAAACTTTATTGAACTATTGAATGATAAAGATGATTTTAATGTAATCATTGAAATCGAGAATAATGAAAAATCATTTACGCAAATTCAAACATATTAAAATATCGATCATCATATTTCCGAAAAGAGTTAGAAAATATTCAGCCAAATGAAAATAATATTAAGACCATTATTAAGTCAAGTTTATCTGCTCAAATTTTTGATGTTATTCTCAAGTAAGTTTCTATCAATAATAAAAATACTATTACTTATTTTCTTATTTTTATAAATATTTATTTTATTTATTATTCGTTTTATTTAGATATATTTATGGAGGATTTGTTAATTTGGAGAACGTAGAAACCAGATTCATTTTTGATTTAATGTTAGCTGCTAATGAATTTGAACTTAATGAATTAACCACCAAATTGGAAACTCATCTCATTGATACCAAAGCTTCTTGGTTAAAAACTTATGTTACTCTTATTTATCGTACTATTTTTAACTAAAACAACTTTAAAATTTTAGAAAATTATTGTAATAATATTATTGCAAAGCATCCAAATATTATATTTGAAAATTTAGATTTCACTTCTCTTCTGAACCTGCATTGGTATCTCTTCTAAAGCGAGATGATTTGCAAATGGAAAAAGTTAAGATTTGGAATTATGTCATCAAATGGGGAATTTCTCAAAATCCTACTCTCCCTACAAATCTTGAAGAATGGTCCTAGGAAGATCTCTTACGTTAAAGACCACTTTGCGACAATATTTACCGATTATTCGTTATTTTCATATTTCAAATGCTGAACTTTTTGATAAAATTATACCTTATAAAAAGATTCTTGATAAAAAACTTCGGAAAGATATTATTCAGCATCTAGCAACTCCTGACCGACCAGTTAAAGCAATTATTTTTTTAGCAAGGTCCGCTTTGATTACAGAATTACCTCCTCGTGCAGAAATACCAAAAGAACCTTTTTCGACAATCATTTCTAAAGAACATGCCGCAGAAATTTCTAGTTGGATTAATTATTCAACAACAGATATTTCATATAAATTTAAATTAATTTTCAGTGGTACTAGAGATAAGTTTGCTCCACAAACATTTTGGAATATTTGCCATGGTCATGCTAAAACAGTTGTGGTAATAAAAGTTAAAAGGACTGATGAAATACTTGGAGGTTATAATCCTTTAGCTTGGGATACTAATTATAATCCTTTTACATTCTTATATTAATTAAATAATTCGATGGATAGATGGATAGAAACAAAAGATAGTTTAATTTTCTCATTAAAAATGGAAATATTCAAATTCTATTCTTAGCATAGTAAAAAATGCCCAATATGCAATTCGCGAAACTTTGCAAAGTAAGTTTGGTCCACGTTTGGAGATTTTTTCTTATGTAGTGAAAAATCTGATTTTACTTTAGATAATATGAATCGCTGTGGTATTAATAGTTCTTATAATTGGAGACCTATAAGAACGACATCAGAATGCTTTTCTATCGTTAATTATGAAGTATTCAAAATTGTTAGAAAATCTTAAATATTTAGAAAATATTTATTTTGTATTTAATTGTATTAAACATGTATTCATTTCTATATATTTTTATATATATATATTTTGATTTTAAATGTATTAATAAATAATTTTACCAGTTTAGCAAATTTCCACTCTCTTTCTCGGTCACCATAACAAAAGAAAAGTTTTTTTTTTTCGTTTTTATATTATTACTCTCTCAGCAATAATTTATTAAAAAAATAAATTTAATAAATTATTTAAGATTTTCACGATTATATTAAAAATTTTTGCCTTCTCGATTCTTGCCGTTTATTTATGAAAACTTGCTTGTTTACAGTAACATATATCAAAATAATAGTATACATATGTGCGCCACATTATAATTTATAAATACGCAATTATATCAAGATTTTAGATAACAAAATTAGAATTGGTCTTTTGATAATAGAATCATTGTTGTATGGCATAATATGAAAATTATGATTTAAAAATGCAATTCGTATGAATTTTTTTTAAAACAAACATGATTATTTAAACAATAATAACATATGTTGTTTATCATTATTTGCAAAAGTGAATTTTCAGTTCTAATTCAAAATCTCTAACAATTTAATCACTGACAGTGCCATCTATTCTTATAATCTTATTTTCTTTCCTTCTTTTATAAAAAACAAAAATTATAATAATAATACAGGTCAAAACCAATACGCCTATTCCTGTTGGAAGCCCAATCAGTAACAGGTTTCGAGAAGGAGGGGGGGATGAAGTGATGGGTGGAGTGGGGGATGAAGTGATAGGTGGAGTGGATGAAGTGATAGGTGTAGTTGGGGAAGGTAGATCGGGGGGAGGGTCGTAATGTGTAACCCACGTATTATTTATTATATCGTAAAGATACACTTG